ATATTCAAAATGGCTGCGCCAAATCAGTTACATGTTCCCAACATTGAAGAATGCTTTAACGATTTTCTTTAATGAATCCAACAATGTAATAACTGTATACAGGAAAATAGTAACGGTGAATAGGCAAAATTTCTTGGTAGGCCCCTAGAGGAATATCAACGTTCGCTGCGTGTGATGTACTGATGTGTGGCAGACTCCGCCATTTTCGCAACAACACACGTTGTTACTGGTATTAAAAGGAACTTGGAATTATACTTCATAGCGATGATTTTGGCGAGGTGTTTCCAGCGAATAATGCACTTTGTACGACGGTAAATCATGACCTTGTTGGTCGACCTCGCTATGAACTCACTCAAGATCAGATACAAATTTTAAGAGGCGAGTTGGATTTAGATGGGTACAGACATTGCTGCAATATTGGGAATACAGAACCCTGAACCGTCGTGGTCACGAATTTGTTATATCAGTCAGACAAGTCTCTGTAGAGTTTCTATAACACGCGGTCTTTGCACCCGTAAACCTCGAGACCTCAATGCGTCTCTGACCAGGCTATAGGCCTGACTGTGGCGTCAATATTAATTTTTCACTAACAACCCTATCGAGTTCTTCGCCTTCGGTACTTATATTTGAGAAGTTGTAATCTTGTCCGACTGACATACCACTTCGTGACGACGACGGTTCGGGGTTCTGGACGATATTCACAATATTGCAACAATGTCTACCCATCTAAATCCCAACTCGACTCTTAAATTTTGCATCTGATCTTGAGTGAGTTCATAGCCAGGTCGTCCAAGGCCATAATTTACCTTCGTACAAAGCGCATTATTCGCTGTAAACTCCTCGCCAAAATCATCGCTATAAAGTATAATTCCAAGTACCCTTTAATACGACCAACAACGTCCAGTATTTGTTCGAAGTCATTCAGAAGATCAGGTGTGCTGTTGCGAAAATCTCGGGAGTCTGCCGTACATAACGCGTAGCGAACAATGATATTCCTCTAGGCGCCTACCAAGAAATTCTGGCAATCCACCGTTACTATTTTCCTGTATACAGTTATTACATTGTTGGGTTAGCTGAAGAAGATCGTTAAAGAATTCTTTAATGTTGGGAATATGTAACCGATTTCGCGCAGCCATTTTGAATATGTTTTCATGCTGATCATAAAACTAGATACTCTGACAGATCCGAAATAGCGCTGACCACGAGTGAAAAAACGAGCCGGGCAATGTTCTCTATTGTCAGCAGGGTAGTTTTCCTTGGCAGAGTGCAAATTCGGGAAGTGTCTATTAATCATTTGACTGAAAGCTATTGAATGTGGTTATAATTTTCAGTTTACAAAAAGGTGCTGTCGAGAATGTTTCGCCTCCAAAACTACGTTGTCCTCGACAAGTCAAAGTTCAAATAATAAACTTTAATATAATATATGAATCACACGTTCACAATGAATCACACTTTTCGCTTCGTAGTCACTGTCACACTAACACTATTACCTCGTTTTGTTTAAATGACGTCACATAATTAATCCCTATAATTAATCCCTATACTCAAATTACTTAATCTGTCAGTTTCCAACACACTCCCCCATTTAGCTCCATGAGGAGATATATGTCCATTTGAGACTGACTTTGTTGTAATTATTTGCTAAACAAACATATAAAGTTAATCAAATAAATGTTCTCATGCATGTCTATACTATTTTAACGTTTGCTTTGGTGTCAAAACTCATTCTCATCATCTGCTACTGTGGTCTGTATTCGCAGTCTTGCTGCAACTGCTGCGTCTCTGGTGGCTCTAGGTTGGAAAGAGGGTGCTGTTGGGTTGGGTTTTCGGAAATTAGTTTCGTCGCAGGTCAACTCGAGGGGGTACAAATGCTGCACTGCACGCTCCAACTCTCCATTGACTGTTCGTAACTTGGCTCCCCGCACGACGCCATCTTTACCTTTAATCAGCTCCGAGACTACCCCGAGTTTCCATGTGTTCCGATTTTTGTTTTCGCCCTGCACAATAACCGCCGATCCTTTTCTTGGGCATGTCGCTTGTTTCCCCGCTGCGTTGA